CTATCCGAACATTTCTCTTTTCATTTTCCGTAATATCTTAACCCTGATCCTTGTAAGCAGTAGCTAATCAAATGCTTGCTTCTTCTTCATTTGCTGAACCTTCTTCCTTGAATGCATCTTTGTTCAGGCGCCTCCGCAGGTTCATTCCCCCCTCTTGTGTTTGGTTATGCAGCTTTGTTCAAAAAATCAAGACTGAGAATTGCTTTTCTGCTGTAGTGTAGGTGTGCTATCCGAACATTTCTCTTTTCATTTTCCGTAATATCTTAACCCTGTGTGGGTTCAACGCTAATGTGAGAGCAGTTTGATCCTTGTATGAAGCAGAAGTAAATCGTGCGCACTTGATTTAATAGCTCGTCGATGCATGTCTCGGATGCATCGATCGACGCACGGTTGATTTCGATAGAAAAAAAAAAACTGTGTGTCTCTTATTTCTCTGTTAAATCTTGATCAAAAAGGATAATATTGACCAGAGTGGGATTTGAACCCACGCCCTTTCGGACCAGAGCCTTAATCTGGCGCCTTAGACCAACTCGGCCATCTGATCATTTTATTCATTTTCCACGTGTCCTTCCTAAACTGCCATCAGGCCACAAACCTCTACACCTAACACTAAAACTACTATAGTACCATTGACGGCTAAGGGAAAACCATTAGCCGTAAACTAAAGAGAAAAATTACAGTGTAGGAGGTGAAATTTGCACGCGTCTAAAAAGTGCTCCATGCTAACCAGGTCCAGTCCAGTGGCTAAACTTGTCGGATGTTGGTTTGCAACTGCTAGTAGGATAGTCAGGGAGGAAATCAGCAGGGCATGATCAGCAGCTAGCTTGTGGAGTGTTGTTTGTGTTTGAGGGAAACATTACTACAGAGATGTTGACAGTGGATTCTAGAAAACCGCTCTTTTCTCATCGGTTCATGGCACCGGAGGAGCTGGAGGTGAGTAATATAGTGCAAAACATTTTTCCAAACTTGGGATTTCACATGTGTGTGGAAGTCGATCGATGGCTTAACTGCGAAGGCACGAGGTGAAAGCTAGTACAGGAGCGTCTCCATTTGCTACTAAGGATCATTTGTTAGCTGTGACCAGCAACCCATGTTTGCCACATTTGCACAAAGCTGAAATGAACGGAGCGCGTGAATCTATCTCCGTGTCCGTATGCAGGGAGTTTTGCTTTGTGTTGCAAAAGCGGTATGGAATTTGCTGCGAAATTGCCGTGCCTCCTTTCTGAAGTATCAACAGAGTTTAGTTTGATGTTCTTTCTCTGATGAACTCCTAGTTCCCAAACATACTTTGCATTGGTTGCAATGCTGGTAGTATATGCATTACACAGCCACACCTGCATGCTCGCCGTGCACAGACGGTTTATATGTAGACGCGGATCGATTGTAGTGGTTGATGTAAAAGGTGAACAAGTGATTGGGGCATCGGTGTCACAGCCTCACTATCACAGTCACCGGCTATATATATGCACTTGTAATTAATCGGCAACATACATATGCCAACGTAAAGCCCAGATAAATAGCCAAACAGGGAAAGACCTCGGCGAACGATAAAGATGTTATCATGTGAGCCCGCGGTGCCATGTGATAATGGCAGGCAGCAAGGAAAAACCCTACTCATCTCGCGTATGCAGTACCATCTACACATGCTCCCGTGTAATCTCGCACGACATTGCATTCAACAAGCCTTTAGATTTGTGTGTTTAATTCCTTCCCATTTTATGATCCCCTGCCAAAGGTTCCGCTCGAGTTCCGAGTGGAACTGAAAAAACACGCACCTGTTGGTGATGTCGCGTGGGAAACTATTGTGGCCATCGATGCATCGCGGTGTGCCGATCGACCTTAGGAAGGAACAATATTAGTCATTTCACGTTTCCTAAACCTAAAAACAGGAGTAACCTTAATTATACCAAGACACACCGACACAATTGTTGTGCTGACTTCAATCACTCGTAGTGGCGATGGCATGCAGTTACGAGGAAGACAAAACGCGCTGGGATGTATCTCTGGGCAATTGGTGCTATCGGTGCACCGGTTTCCTTAGCATATTAAATATTTAAAAAAAATGAGCACTGACACAACAATAATGTATGTTGTAAAAAGAATTCAAAACAAAATTTGAAACATTATGTGAGATACAAAAATAACAAAAAGAATTCAAAACAAAAATAACTAGATACGTTCCCAAAACGCGCTTGGCGGTAGAGCTTCTCTACCCTATGGGCGACCGACACGTAACCTTGCCTTTATTCCTTTCTTGCTCACTCCCTTCCGGACCATGGAGCTCCTTCCTCGCAATTCCTATGCCTCACAGCCTCCGTCACCGTATATAAATACTCCATCCTCTCGGCCACACCCCCTACACCGCACTGCAAGTCAGCAACCTACCAGCCTCGCGGCCAGTCTGCCAGTAGCCACTCAGCAACTCCCCTCTCTCGCGCTCTCTTGGTGCAGTCGTGCCGGCGCGATGGCCGCACCTTTTCTGCACCTTCTTCTGCTCGTCGTCTCTGGGGGTGCTGCAGCGGGCGGCGAGGACGAGGTGGGGCTGCCCCCGCTTGAGCTCCGAGCCATCGACGACCCGGGCCGTGGGCGCGCGTCCGTCGCTGCGGAGGAGCCGGTGCTCATCGCCGATATCTCCACGCACGACGACGAGCCGGCCGAAGTACCCCGGGTTGAGTTCCGAGGCATCGACGACTCGGGCCGTGGGCACGCGTCCGACGCGCCGGAGGAGCCGGTGTTCATGGCCGATGTCGCCACGGACGACGACGAGGCGCTTTTCGGTGGCATCGATGAGTCGGGCCATGTGCACGCGTCCGACGCGCAGGAGGAGCGGGCGTTCACGGACGTCATCTCCACGGGCGGCGGCTGCGGCCGCTTCGCCCGCCTCGTCGCCAAGACGGGGAACGCGAGCCAGCTCTTCTGGGAGCGCGTCGCGGGCGGTGGCGGTCTCACCGTATTCTGCCCCGAAGACAAGGCCCTCTCCGAGTTCGAGCCCAAGTTCCGAGGCCTCGGCGCCGACGACCGGCTCGCCGTCCTGCTGTACCACGGCGCGGCAACCACCTACGGCAGGAAGCTGTTCCAGGCCTTCGACTGGGTGTCGTTGAGCTCGCTGGCCACCGACGCGGCCACCAACAAGAGCCACGCCATCACGCTCCGCGACGACGGGGACACGGTGTGGTTGTGGCCGTCGTGCGGGAGCCGCGCTTGGGTCAGGGTGACAAAGACGGTGTCCGAAGAGGCCCCCCTCGCCGTGTACGTCGTCGACGCCGTGCTGCTGCCGAGCCACCTGCGACAGAAGCTGGATGGCGGCGACGAGCCGGCTGCTACGTGCAAGCCGTCCGGCGGCTATCTCGGCTGGCTGCACTCCTGCATCCCGGCCTGGACAATGGTACCCATCGCCGTGGTGAGCATCGTGGGCTTTCATGTCGCGTTTCTTCTTCAGGATGCACTGAACAGGAAGAACAAGAAGGCCAACTTAATTTTTTTTTGAACACAGTACAGACGCAAGCGCTCATATAAACGCGCATACACTCACCCCTATGAACGCACACACGCACACCCTATCCCTATGAGCACCTTCGAGAGACTGAGCTGGCATATCATTTTGAGATTTTACGAAGTTACCGTAGGCGCTTCGTAGTCGACGGGAACGTAATAAATCCAGAATAAATGCGAGCACCAGGATTTAAACCCTGATGGGTTGAGGATACCACTGTCCATCTAACCACTGCCAACTTAGCTGGTTAAGTTTATCTGCACTAGTAGTAGTGTGAATAATGCTGTAGAATTATGGTTGTGGTGTGCGCATGATCGAGTAGTATGTGTTTAGCTCAGCATATTATATTGCTGCAGCATGTGACAGGCGCCTCCGCAGTCTTCTGCCTCGTTATGCATCTTTGTTCAAGACTGAACGGCATGGACCCGAAATATCTGAACCTTTCTTGCTGTAATGTGAGCTGTCTGATCCTTGCATAAAGCAAAAGCAGAAGTAAATCGTGGCAATTCGATTTAGCCGGTCAATGCATATCTGTGATGATTTACATGGGGAAAAAAATACTGTATGTCTCTGTTTTCTTTAGTAAAAAAGGATAATATTGACCAGAGTGGGATTTGAACCCACGCCCTTTCGGACCAGAGCCTTAATCTGGCGCCTTAGACCAACTCGGCCATCTGATCATTTTTGTTTAATTGCCACGTGTCGGTATACAATACAGCACATGATCCCAGGTAACTACTCCCATCAGGCCACAACCCTCTATGCCTGACAAGACAATGAAACTACATCAATGGCTAAGGGAAAACCATAGTCGTAAACTAGAGAGAAAAACTACGATCTACCGTACCGAAGAGTTATTCTGTAAGAGTGTGGGAAGAGAAGTTTGCATATATCTATATTTATCTATATCTATATCTATACCAATATAAAAAGACTCAGATAGACAGATCCAAATTATCTCGACCGTCAAATGATGTTATCTAGTGGTTCAAATCGATCTAATGTTGAGCATCAAACACGTTTAACGTTCTAATTATCCATCACTGCCATTAGTTATAAACACGTTTTGACTCAACACTATCCCTTGAAATCTGCCATGTAATTAATATCCTATCATCCCACGAAAAAGTAATTGATATCTTACCAAATACCAACGTGCAACATATACATCTTACCTAATATAACGTGCAACTAATATCCTACCTAATATAAACATGCATTGCACGTACATTATTATTAGTTTGAAAAGTGCTCCAAGTTAACCAGGGCCAGTCCAGCGGCCAAGCTTGTGGGATGTGTAGACAAGGGTTTGTAGGAGTGGTGTTTGTGTTCGTGGGAAACATCACCGGTGGATTATGAAAAGCAATTTCCTTGGGGTGGTTGGTAAAAGCAAATGATTTTGGAAAACCAGGTCTTTTCTCGTCAAGTCCATGTCATTGGAGCAACTGGATATACGTTACCATCCTTTTGGGCTGAAGGGCAGTGCAGTTGTAACTAGAATTGCTGAAATGACGGCAACATCTGGAACTGCTTACAAGCTTTTCGTCAGAGAGATGATTTTACTGATATGGCCTCCATAATTGGTACGTACTTTCATAATAGATGGTGATATGCAGGGCATTAGGGCTAGTGAAGTTGTAAGAAATAGTGTGGGGCGAGAGCGAGAGATGAACTAGTGTGTGGCGGTGGCCATAGCCACATTTGTCCTACAGTGTCATGTATCAAGATGAGCAAAGACGCATGGCTTCGAAACACCCAGGACCAGGAGCCAAGAAAGGAATTACTTGGGCACTGGACGTCAAGAGGCCTCGGCAGCCTATAAATTTCGACGAAGGCCCGGAGCAAGGCCTCTCAACGCGGTATGCCATGTGCACTTGTGAGCATGCGATGCCCACGAATAAATGTGGCAACCGCAAAGCACCCTCCTCACCTCGCGTATGCCCGTTTTTTTTTTTGAAATTGCGTATGCCCGTTTTGGCACGAAACATTGCACTCAATAAGCTTTTTTGCTTTGTGTTGTATAGTATTCCCTTCGTAAACTAATATAAGAGCGTTTAGATTACTATTTTAATGTGCTAGGCGCTCTTATTAATTTACAGAGGGAGTATGTAATAGTTCACTTCCATGCATGATAACATGACGGCGGATGAAGCTCGGGCTTCCCACGGCAGCATGGCGTAGTGCAGTCCATATCCAAGGCGGATCTGGGTCGGCGATCTCTTGGTTTTGCCACGGATTGGTTCTGATCAGAGACGGTGACGAGCGTGCGGGATCCATCCCGGCGGCTCTCGCGGTTTGGCGAGGTGGGGTGGGAGTCCTCCTCCCAGATTTCAGTGGTGGCGCATCCAGGCAGTGGCCGGTGTGCCAGGGCTCCTATGGTGACATTGCTGTTACGGTTGGTCGCCGGATCTAGGTGGCTAGATCTGGGGCTTTGAAGGCGGTCGAGACAATGCACAGGTTGTCGGGTGGATTTCTTGGAACGAATCTGAGTGAAACTTGATCTTCGGTCGTTGGCCGGAGCCGGTGATGATGATGCCCTATCACCGTTTCCATCATGAAGGCATCATCGAGGTACAAATCCCAAACTCACCCAATACCTCCGGGGGAAACCTTAGATCAGTTGATCGGATGACGGTGGCATTCATGTGTCGTTACCCCCTTGGGGCGGCATTCTTGGAGATGCACTCAGGCTTGAGGGACCATTGGATGGCTTCTTCGTTGGAGCGGTGTTTCTTTCTACATATTCATGGCGGAGGCTCTTGGCAGCATGGAGCAGCGAAGACTTGGCGTCAGATGTGTGGTGATGGACACGCGCAGGAGGTCGACGCTGTCTGGCGTCGTGGTGGCGTCGGCGGCAGCTAGACCGGGCAAGGTAGATGCACCAGTACAACTTTGAATATGGATTGGTGGCAGGTGGCTGCGGCGACCTCATATCCGGCAGGCGTCCTGGTTGAGGAGCACGTCAGACTGATGGGTGCCCATACCCGACAAGCGTCCTGGTTGGGACCTCAGGTCTTAAATGTTCGGTTTGGCTGCGAGGTCTTTTTGGTATTAAACCTAGCACTGGTAGAAAAAGGGCCTATAGTCCCGGTTCGTAAGGGCCTTTAGTCCCGGTTCCTGAACCGGGACTAAAGTGTCGGTACTAATGCCCTGTACCTTTAGTCCCGGTTCAATCCAGAACCGGGACTGATGGGCCTCCACGTGGGCAGTGCGCAGAGCCCAGGCAGGAGACCCTTTGGTCCCGGTTGGTGGCACCAACCGGGACCAATAGGCATCCACGCGTCAGCATTTCTGTGGCTGGGGTTTTTGTTTTTTTGAAGGGGGGGGGGTTGGGGGTTTTGGGGGGTTAATTTAGGTGTTTCATATATTGTGTTAGCTAGCTATAATTAATAAAGAGAAGTGTCCTCTCTTACGTCCGTGCTTGGTCGACGCTACGTACTATACATACGTATAGAGAGGACTAGACACACTAGTTAGCTAGTAAGCAAACGAAGGAAACAGAAGATCGTCATGAACATATATGCATACAGAGAGAAGTGATATCGACCACCTCTCCTTCTCTGAGAGATTGGTCGAACAACAAGTTCTCGTATATCTATCCGACATTACCGGCTACGTATATACAATAATTATCTCTTACAAATATAATCATACGGACTCATGGTCCACATAGTATTCTCCGTCTTCAGCGATTACTTGGTCAAGAAAGAATGCCGCCAATTCCTCTTGAATTGCTCGCATGCGAGCTGGTGCTAGGATTTCATCCCGCTTCCGAAACATCTAATTTGAAGAAGGGGGTCAATACATATATATATGAATGAATGAAACTCAATACAAATGATGGTAATAAAATAAAATTGTGAATGTTGTTATTTACGTACTTCATATTGTTCGTCAGAGTACCCGCCCCGCTCACAGGTCGTGTGGCGGATGGACTCGCAGACGTAGTATCCACAGAAATCATTCTCTTTTTCCTGCCACAACCACTTTACAAGAAATAGAGGTCAATCAAACTGATAAGTAAGAATGCTAAATGATATTGATGAAACTAGCGCTTGAATCACTAGGAGATGCGCGGAACATGCTACTATAGTACTTACTTTCGGGTGTCTAAATTCCAGCTCCTTCGGCAGTCCCGAAACTTTTCTGGTGAATTTTCTCCAAACCCTGCCGGACAAAGAAAACAATTACTTGATATCAGGAAATGAATAAAGTTACTGATATGGTGGATAATGATCGATTTAACTTACTTCTTGAGGATTTCAGTCATGTTCGCATACTCCTGGGGATCTTTTCGTTTAGAGTCCAAGACGGTTACTACTCCCTGCTCAAGCCTAATCTCTAGGAGAATATAGTGGAAACTGCACACGCATGCATAACTCATCAATTACATTACTATAACCTGGACTAATATATAAGGGAAACCGAATATGCACAAGACAGTAACACTCACTTGAAGTTGTAAGGAAAGAGTATTATATCTTTGTTTTCATTTTTTTTGAATGATCGTAGCAAGTTGGCCTCGGTATCTCCGGGACGATGTTGAACCTCAGTTGCATCTATGAGATATGTGTTAATGAACCCAATATCACCGATTTGTCTTTTCTTCAATTCGGCGATCTTCATTCTGCATAATATAGTGAGGATAATTATAAATACATGCAATGAAAGAGATGAGCTATATAGAGAGACTTAATGACATAAGTAGTAGTACTTACAGACAATAGCAGGTGATCGTTGTTTTATCGAGGGCCAATTGATTGAAAAACTGATAGAACTCCTCAAATGGAATAGGCAATAGTTCAATTCCAACGAGGTCATGCTCCGGTTTAACTCTCGCATACAAAGTACTCCTCCCCCCAGACTCTTTGCAGATTTTCAAGTACCAATCATGTAATCTTCGCATCATCGTTGTTAAAGATTTTTCATCTTTGACGAGAGGCTTCCCGTACTCGTATCTGTGTATCTGCACCTCCATGGTATCATAATGTACATCGCCGAGCAGGTAATCGTCAACATTGCCATAAACGGGCACCATCCTCGGATCGACGATGTCGCTAGGCATCTTGAGGGGGGGCACGATTGCTTCGCTTGTTCGCCGAGCTGGGCAATTTGTTTCCCAGCTGCTCGTCGTTCTTTCAGCCTTTGATCACTGACTGTACTTCCCGACCGCTCCGCTTCGACCCATGTCTTTGCAATAATGCGCTCATAGTTGCCTTTCGGTGGAGACTTGGGTGGTTTTGCCAGGGCA